CAGGGAAGATGTGAACCGCTGGGGAAAGGTGGACCTGTTGGTAGCAGGGTGGGAGTGCCAGGGTACTTCCCGAGCGGGGAAGGGAAGAGGAATGCAGGATGACCGCACGGCGATGGTGACAACACTGCTGACGATTATGAGGTGGGCGAGAGAATCTGGCGGGGAATATGCTTACATCCTAGAACACGTGGATATGAGGAGTGATATCAGGGAGCCGGTCCGAGCCGTACGCGAGCTAGTGGAAGCAGAATTGGGAAGGGGAGTGAGTTGTGACGGGGCACAGCTGGGGGCAAGGTGTCATAGAGTGCGGCAGTACTGGCAGAACGTCCTGCCAGAAGGAGAACTGAGGGCGAGATTAGCAAGGGTGGAGAGAGATGAGAGCCGAATTGTGGAAGACATCCTGGAACCAGGGAGAGTGGCCGCCCCAGTGGTAAAGCCAGATCATCCGCGACAGTATCAGTGTAACCGAGTGGGGGAAGCAAGGAGGGCCTGGCCGACACTGGTGGCCTATGCAAAGGCACGGGGATTTGTCGAAGTTGAAGGGACTCCGGGTCCAGGGATGGTGTATGATCACCGTAAGAAAAGATGGGAGGAGCCGACGGCTTTGGAGCGGGAATTAGCCATGGGGTACCTGCCGGGGGCAACAGCAGCAGACGGAGTGAGAGAGGAAGTGCGCAAAGCTGCTTTGGGCCGAGCCATAGACCAGCACTCGCTGCGATGGCTAGTTAGTGAGATGAGAAAGGGGCCAGCCGAGAAAAAGGGAAAGACGGAAGAGGAGAAGGGCAGGGGCGGCAAGCAGGCTGCTTACACCGCTGTCAGCAAGCTCACAGACGAGAAGGAGACCGATACGGCACCACCAGTAGGCAAGGAAGCAGAGCCGGGCAAAACCTGGGAGCTGGGGGAAGGTATAGGGGAGCAAGCAGCTGAAGCAATTAGGGAGGTGTTGCAGCAGCATAGGGGCACTTTCGCCTATAACCTGCAGGAATTGGGGAGATACAAGGGGAGAGAGCTGGAGCTGAACCTCACGACCGAGCTACCTACATACCAACGCAGGAGGCGAATGAATGCGGAGGATGCAGCCATCTGCAAAGAGAAATGCGAGGAGTTGCTAGCTGCAGGGATTATTCGCCCGTCAGAATCAAGTTACGCGGCGGCCACGGTGGTAGCTGCTAGGAAGGACATCACGGGAAAGATTCTAGCGAAGCGGATGTGCGGGGATTTCCGGGAGCTGAACAAGATTACAAGCCCGGACCGATACCCTATGCCGACTGCTGAAGACATTTTCGACCGGCTGGAAGGGGCCACCGTCTTTACCACCTTGGACCTACGACAGGGCTTCAATCAGATAGGTATTAGAGAAACAGATAAACGGAAAACTGCATTTCACGGGGTGGACGGGTTGTATGAGTACAACGTTATGCCTTTCGGGCTTCGTAACGCACCAGCAGTGTTCCAGAGAGCCATGGATCAAGTGCTGAAGGGGATTCCAGCTGCAGCCTGCTATATTGATGACGTGTTGATTTATAGCAGCAGTGAAGAACAGCATGTGCAAGATCTGAAGCAGACTCTAGAGGCAATAGCAGCTGCGGGGCTGACGTGTCACCCAGATAAGTGTAAGATAGCGAGGCACACGGTGGCTTACCTGGGGTTTGAAGTGAAGGGCGGTCGGCTGGCCATACAAGAGGCGAAGGTTAAGGTGCTGGAGAACCTGGCAGCGCCAAAGGACAAGACAGGGCTGCGGGCGTTACTCGGTTTCCTGAATTATTACAGGAAGTTTGTATCAAACTTCAGTCGCCGCGCCTACGTGCTGAACCAGCTGCTGAGGGAAGGGAAGAGATGGCAATGGGGAGAGGTGGAGGAGGCAGCAAGGCAGGACTTGCTTGAAGCAGTTAGGACAGGGACCTTACTGCAGATACCGAGGGCAGAAGCGCCTTTCATCCTGTACACGGACTGGAGCACTACGGGAATGGGAGCGGTGCTTTGCCAAGAAATCGAGGGAGAGGAAAGAGTGATAGCCTTTGCTAGCCGCAGCTGCAGCCCATCCGAGGCTAACTACTGCTCCTACGAGGGAGAGGGGCTGACGGCAGTATGGGGAATCACGCATTTCAAGGTATACCTGCAGGGCCGGCACTTCACTTTAGTGACTGATCATCAGCCACTGCTATGGTTGATGACTAATCAAGAGCTGACGGGAAGAAACGCTCGATGGGCTATCAAGTTGCTGGGATTTGACTTTGAGATCCGGCACCGACCGGGTAAAACACTGCAGCATGCAGATGGGCTGTCAAGGAACCCACCACCGATGCAGCCGGTAGCGCAGCTGGCGGCCTTAGCCCACGCCGTGGCCGGGACCTGGGGGCAGGAGAAGGGAGAGAAGCGGTTAGCAGATATATGGGAGGACGAAGAGACCATGAGCTGGATCAAAGGGGAGCCACTGGAGGAGGAAGGCGTAAGTGAGAGAGCAAGAGCCAGAGGGCAGCATTACAGATGGTTCCAGGAGCAGCTGCAGCTGAGGACCAGCGAAGGATGGAGGGTAGTGCCGCAGCCGCAAGAGAGGAACAGGATTATGGGGAAGGTGCATGCGAAGCTAGGACATTACGGCATCACCAGGACACGGCAGCTGTTGAGCACCATGTACTGGTGGGCAAGCATGGGGAAGGATGTGGCAGGACTGGTAGCCAGCTGCGAGGCTTGTCAAAGGAATAAAGCAAGGCTGGAAAAGGAGAGGGAGGAGCTGAACTCACTACCGATTCGGGGGTTAGGTTACAGGTGGTCGCTAGACCTGGCAGGAGAGTTACCATTATCAAAAGGAGGGAAGCAGTACATTCTGATCATGGTTGAGCACACGAGCAAATGGGTGGAGGCGCGGGCATTACCAAGCAAGAGTAGCGCACTGATAGCGGACGCATTCGGGGAGTTAGTACTGACCAGGTACGGGGCATGTGGAGAGGTGCTTACTGATCAAGGGACAGAGTTTCAAGGGAGCTTTGATGAGCTGCTAGAAGAGATGGGCATCACGCATCGTGTCACCTCAAGGTATCACCCTCAATCGGACGGGCTGACAGAGAGGCTCATACAAACCGTGAAGAAAGGACTTCGGGCCTATGGGGACACACACAAGAGGAGTTGGGACAGGGATCTCTGGTGGGTGCTTGCAGGATACCGGTTTGCGAAGCAGGCAGCGCTGAAGCATCTGTCCCCGTATCATCTACTGTACGGACGGGACCCAGTGCTACCAGTGGATGCACCGAAGCTGCTCTCGGTGACAATTGAAGCGGACGAGCCGAGCCTGTGGGCGGGATTAGCGGAGAAGAGGGCAAGGTATCTGAAAGAGCTGACTCCAGCTGCCTTGGATAATCTACACGTGGCGCAGCTGAGAGATGCAAGGCGGTACCAGCAGCGCAAAGCAGGAGGGATGGGAAGAAAGAGTGACAAAGTGGAAGCGGGGCAGGAGGTGTACCTGCGCAGGGCTAAGCAAGATACGCTGGACTTAGCTGTGGGACCAGAGCGATGGAGGGTGAAAGAGGTAAGGGAGTCGGGGGTGCTAGTACTGGAGGATGATCGAGGGGAGTACCTGAAGGAGCATATCACCAACGTGGCCAGGGCGGCAAGGGAGAAGCCTCAGGCATTGGATCCCGTATCTGGAGCAGCCTGAGATACGAGAAGAGGATCAGAACAGAGTGATTACATACGTCAGGAGGAAGAAGGGATGAGCCGGTCACCTGGACGAGAGGCGGAGGGAGAGGGAGGAGGAAGTTAGGCAGGGATTCAAGGGAGAGTGAGAAGGAAGGGACAGCAGAGGGGGATTCACGACACACATAACTTTGCTGCAGCAGCCATAGCAGACCACCACCTGCCAGGGGCTAAGGGAAGGACAGGGGAGAGGATGGGAGGTGTTGGGCTTGTGATGGATTTGAGCTGAAGCAGCACAAGAATGCTTCCAGAAAGCAGCAAATGCATAACGCAACGGTGGCATGCAACAAGTCTACATGCAGTGCAATGGCACCACCTCTCACTTGGCTATTTCAATTTGCCTGCGTGCGACCTGATACACCTGCACCTCCTCTATGTATCCACCATCATGCGATCACAGCAGATTGTCACGCGGTCACAGCCATCTGTATCGAGATCATTGCTAGGGAGTGTTGGGTTGAGAAAAAAACGCTTAGGATCTTTTAAGAGATTAGTCCTGTAAAGAGTATTGCGACCAGGGCCAAAAATATCCCTGGGGGCTGGCCGCTTTTTCAGGATTACCTTGTCAAAATCAGGAATCAAAGAAAGTTACCCTTACGCAAAAAGAGTTACTAGTATTTTTTAACACTGATAGGATTTGCTGTTACCCTGACGGTATCAGGGTAGTGTACACGGTATCAGGGTTGTGTGCATACTACCCTGATACCGAAACCTTTTCAGCGCGGACCAGGCCACAATTCGCGTGCTGACAAACTGTACCACTTTCACACTGCCACCGTTGTCGCTTCGGACCACAGGCGGAAAACCGTGTAATGTTGTCGGTGGCACGCGGTGTCACCTTATTGGTTGTTTTGCCTGCGTGGTGTGACAACAAGCCACGCCCACGCTCAGTGGGGGTGGCTAGTTCTGTTTTGTGTTATTTTTACTTATGAAACTACCGTAATTAAAACCGAAATATAGAATAGTGAACCCCGTCCCAGCTTGAAAGGATCTTTCCGGGTGGGTTTGCAAAGCACTGTTTCAAACATTTCGTGTGTGCAGATCGAGCCCATTTGATTGGCTCCCGCCAAAAACGAAATTTCTGGGCCTTACATAAGGAGTCGCCTTAAACATGATGCACCCTCACGACGGCTGCACGGCAATCATTGCGATCGTTGGGCCCAACTCCAACTTCAAGGTGGACCTGGGTTCCACTTCTTCTTTCCTTAGAATAGCTGAAAACGTAGGCATTTCTGCCTAAGCAACTACCATTTTTATAGATATAATCCACATCCTTCTATTAGTGGCCTAGTGACGAGGGATCTTACATGTCTCGTAGCGATACTTGCCTCGAGATTTTTCGGTTGAACGCGCTCGTCGCCGAAACGCCCTTTCGTCGCTCAGCGCATCACCTTCACATTCGCGAGGAATTGCCCTCGCGGCGGCCTTATTCCGTCTCCCCCTCCCCCCCCCCCCCGCCCATCACCCACCTCTTCGCATTCGCGCCTGCCTCGAAACATTCTCTCGTCTCCCACCCCGTTTTACCCATTTCGTCCCATCGCTTACGCGCTCTCCCATCCTGTCCTGTCGCCCTCTCTCTCTCCGCGCCCTTCTCGTCGCCCTCTCTCTCGCCCCTCTCATCTTGTCGCGCTCTCTCTATCCGCGCCCTTCCCGTCGCCTCCCTTCCCATTGCGCTCTCTCTCTCCCCTCCCTTCCCATCGCGCTCTCTCTCTCTCCGCTCCCTTCCCGTCTCCCTCTCTCTCGCCCCTCCCTTCCCGTCGTGCTCTCTCTCTCCACGCCCTTCCCGTCGCCCTCTCTCCCATTGCCCTCTCTCCCATTGCCCTCGCTCTCTTCTTCGCTCTGTCCCGTCGCCCTCTCTCCCATCGCCCTCGCTCTCTTCTTCGCTCTGTCCCGTCGCCCTCTCTCCCGTCGCGCCCTTTCTCTCACGTCACCCTCGCTCTCTCACGTTGCCCTCGCTCTCTCATGTCGCCCTCGCTCTCTCACGTCGCCCTCGCTCTCTCACGTCACAAGTTGGGCCTGGGTTCGTTACTCCTTTCCGTTTACTTAGTCTCTTACATTGCTTAGCTTAGAATAGCTGGAAACTAACATTTTTGCTTAGGGAGGTACTGACTAATTCGGCTGCGTTATATATGCTTGCCTTCCGGCGAAGTGCTCTTTCGCCTCGCGCAATCGTTACGGTTCCTGTTACTGTCGGCACCACGAAACGCTCTCATCCCGTCTCGTCGCCCTCATAATCTCCCCTACCTTCGCATCTTCTTGTTGTTCTCCCATCCCCTTTCTTCGCCCTCTGTGTCTCCGCTCCCCTCCCGTCTTTCTTCCTCTCTCATGTCGCTCTTCCCATCTCCGCTTCCATTCCCGTCGTTGTTCCTCTCGCCCTTGATCTTTCCCGTCGTTATTCCTCACTACCGTCCCCTCCCCTCCCTTTGTTAATATTATTCTAAAATAGCAGGCCGCAGGTCCTTCGCTGCACTGATCTCACAGGTCGACTAGCTCTGGATCACCTAAACGTTCTCGTTGCATGTGTGTGGGTGGTCGGAACTGCTTGTGTCGTTGCGTCACGCAAAGTTGGTGAAGAAACTACTACTCATTTTTCTAGTGAATGTACCAGCAGCTTTGCACGTCGTGCAGCCTTGCGCCAAAATCGCACATGTATGTCAGAACATATAGCTTACTTGTTTCTGTAGGCTATAGTGGGGTATCCCATAAGGGGTACAACCCAATTAGGGTTTCCTATTTGTACCCACTTCATTTTCATTGTCATCCATTCTCGTTCATACTTTCTCATGGAATCAGAGCAGGTCCCTTCCTAGGGCCTGTTCCTAGGGCCCACCGAAGCGCGCCCCGAGGCGCGCATTTTTTTTAGCGACCCTCCGTGTCGCCCCTTCCGTCGTGCTCCCGCTTAGGCCCCTCGTCGGCCCCGCTTAGGCCCCTCGTCGGCCCCCGCTTAGGCCCCTCGTCGGCCCCGCGTAGCCCTCGTCGGCCCCACTTAGGCCCCGCGCCGGCCCCGCCTAGACCCCGTCGGCCCCTCGTCCGCCCCGCGTAGGCCCCGTCGGACCCGCTTAGGCCCCGCGTCGACCCCGCCCAGGCCCCGTTTCGGCCCCGTGTCGGCCCCGCGTAGGCTCCGTCGGCCCCGCTTAGGCCCCGCTTCGGCCCCGCGTCGGCCCCACCTAGACCCTGTCGGCCCCGCGCTGGCCCCGCTTAGGCCCCGTCGGCCCGCCCAGGCCCCACTTCGGCCCCTCGTCGGCCCCGCTTAGGCCCTGCTACAGCCCGCCACTGGCCCCGCTACAGCCCGCCACTGGCCCCGCTACAGCCCGCCGCTGGCCCCGCTACAGCCCGCCATCGGCCCCACTACGGCCCGCCGTCGGCCCTGCTACAGCCCGCCACCGGCCCCCGCTACAGCCCGCCACTGGCCCCGCGCTGGCCCCGCTTAGGCCCCTCGTCGGCCCCGCTTAGGCCCCGCTACAGCCCGCCACTGGCCTCGCTACAGCCCGCCACTGGCCCCGCTACAGCCCGCCGCTGGCCCCGCTACAGCCCGCCATCGGCCCCTACTACGGCCCGCCGTCGGCCCTGCTACAGCCCGCCACCGGCCCCCGCTACAGCCCGCCACCGGCCCCTTCTACAGCTCGCCGCCGGCCCAGCTACAGCCCGCCGCCGGCCCCTGTTGCAGCCCGCTGTGCTGCCCGTGAGCAGCCCCAGCAGCCCGCGCCGCCTGTGAGCCCCTGCGTCACCCGAGCCGCGCGAGCCGCCTGAGCCGCCCGAGCCGCCCGAGCCGCCTGAGGAGTCGTACTGCTGCTCCTGCGCTGTGTTCCTCTGCTGCTAACCTACCCGACGCATCCAGCCCGGTGAGCCTATCAGCTGCTGTCATGGCCACCCCCAATGTTCTGTCGTTTGACGCTGAGGGGAGGGCCATTGACTTTGCCGTCTGGATTGAAGACCTGCAGCTGTACTTACTGTGTGATGCGATAGATGAAGTCTCTCTCTTTGACTTTGTCTCTGGCGCTGTCCCTGTCCCGCCTGCTGATGCTGACTCTGCCGTTCGCTCCAAGTGGGCGACCCGCGATGCTGCTGCACGTCTTGCTGTGCGTCGCCACCTCCCTTCCTCTGAGCGTGCCCACTTTAGTCAGTGCAAGACCGCCCAGGCCTTGTACGACGCTGTAGTTGCACGCTACTCCTCCCCTTCCTCCGCTACCCTTAGCCGCCTCATGCTACTGTTTCTCTTCCCTGACCTCGCTTCCTTTCCCACTGTTGCTGACCTCGTTACCCACCTCCGCGCTAGTGACGCTCGCTACCGCGCTGCCCTTCCTACTGAGTTCCGCGCCGAAAACCCTCCTCCCATGTACATCACTCTCTACTTTCTCGTCACCCGTCTTCCTGAGTCCCTTCGTGTCGTTAGGGACCAGTTTCTCTCTGTCTGTCCCACCACCCTCACTGTCGACCTCCTTGAGGAGTCCTTGCTAGCGGCTGAGAAGAGTATAGTCGCTGTAGGGGCCTTTAGGAGTGACCCTCGCACCCCCACCTTTGAGGGGTGTTCTCCTTCCCCCCTGCTGCCCTCTGTCGCCTCTGCTGCTGCGGCCGACCTCACTGGTTTTGAGTCGGTCGGTGCGGCGTCTGCCCCCAGCGGCAGACGCCGCTCTGGCAAGGGCAAGGGGGGCAAGGGAGCGGGTGGATCTAGAGGAGGCAGTGGCGGAGGAGGTGGGGGTGGCGGGGGGAGTGGGGGTGGCGGTGGAGGAGGTGGCGGGAGTGGAGGTACTGGTACAGGCGCTGGAGGCGGAGGTGGCGGCGGAGGCGGCAGCGGAGGAGGCGGGGGCGAGGGTACAGGTGGGGGCGGTGGCGGTGGAGACGGGAGTGGCGGTGGAGGCGGGAGTGGCGGTGGAGGCGGGGGTGGCGGTGGAGGCGGGAGTGGCGAAGGCGGCGGGGTTCGGAGTGGCTCGTCCCAGCGGAGCAGCTCTGGGGGTGGTCAGCGCCAGCAGCAGCAGCAGCAGCAGCGCTCTCGCACCGTCCCCGCCCCTCAGCAGCTCCGTGAGTGGTACTTGCAGCGTCAGCGTGGTGGTGCGTTTGGTCCCTGCCCCTACGTTCTTCGCACCGGCGACCGTGCAGGGGAGAGGTGTGGAGGCACCCACACAGCCCGCCGCTGCTTTGGCCGCCTGACCGACGCCAGGCGTCAGCAGTTTCCGGAGGCCGCTGAGATCCCCCGCTGGGGGGAGCTGTCTAGGGCTGGTGTAGCCATTTATGATCTTGACTTTGATGCTATTCTCTCTGCTATGTATGCTGTGACTGGTAGTGATGAGGATGACTGTTACCGGTGTTTCCCACCCGACCCGGGCATTGGTACTGCTGCGTCAGGTACTAGTGAGGCTGCTGCTCTGGGTGCCAGTGCGTCTGTGCTCTCAGGTACTGGTGAGTCTGCCCTCTCAGGTACTGTGTCGGCTTCGGCCTCTCACACCTTCACCCTTGACTCTGGAGCGTCTCGCTCCTTCTTTCGGGACCGCACTACTCTCACGCCGCTGAGTCGGCCGATTGCGGTGTCCCTGGCTGACCCCTCTGGGGGTCCTGTCCTGTCTCGCTTCTCCACGGTACTTCCGTGTCCGGCGGCTCCCTCTGGCACCCTGTCTGGTCTCTACCTCCCCTCGTTCTCGACGAACCTGGTTAGTGGTGCTGACCTACAGGATGCGGGTGTCCACCAGTTCACTCTTGCTCGTCAGCGAGTGACCCACTGCACGGAGGCTAGTACGGGACGCCACCTGGCTACGTTTACACGTCGTCCAGGGTCGAGCCTGTACACACTGACCACTGCTTCTCCTTCTAGTGCTGAGTCTGGCAGGGTCCCTTCGTCTGGTCAGGTGTTTGCCGCAGCGTCCAGGTCTGGTCCTGAGTCTGCCCCCTGTTCGTGTCGTCGTCTGTCTCACGAGACCCTCCTCTGGCACCACCGCCTTGGCCACCCCTCTCTGCTTCGGCTCAGAGGTATGGCCTCCCGTCTTCTTGTGTCTGGTCTCCCCCGGTCCCTCCCTCCCCTTCCTCAGGGCCCTGGCCCTGCCTGTGTCCCCTGTGTCGAGGGGCGCCAGCGTGCTGCCCCTCACTCCTCCCAGTTTCCTCCGACAGAGGCCCCGTTGCAGACGCTTCACATGGACGTGTGGGGCCCAGCCCGCGTCCGTGGACTGGGTCAGGAGCACTACTTCCTACTCGTAGTTGACGACTACTCGCGTTACACCACAGTCTTCCCCTTGCGCAGCAAGGGTGAGGTTACTGAGGTGTTGATCGACTGGATCCGCGCAGCTCGTCTTCAGCTCAGGCAGAGCTTTGGCTCCGACTTTCTTGTGTTGCGTCTGCACTCGGACAGAGGCGGAGAGTTCTCCTCTGGCCTTCTGCGTGCCTACTTTCGTGCGCGAGGCATCCGCCAGACCTTCACGCTTCCGGACTCCCCGCAGCAAAATGGGATTGCAGAGCGCCGCATCGGCATGGTCATGGACGTCGCTCGTACGTCTATGATGCATGCGGCTGCCCCCCATTTTCTGTGGCCGTTTGCGGTCAGGTACGCCGCGCATCAGATCAACCTTCACCCCCGGGTCTCTCGGCCCGCGATGTCCCCAGTCTTGATGTGGACGGGGAAGGTTGGCGATGCGTCGGCGTTCCGGGTCTGGGGATCTCGGGCGTTTGTCAGCGACTTGTCTGCGGACAAGCTGTCCCCTCGCGCTGCTCCCTGCGTCTTCCTGGGGCTCCCCCCCGACGCCCCTGGGTGGCAGTTCTACCACCCCACCTCCCGACGTGTTCTGTCCTCCCAGGACGTCACGTTCGACGAGTCGGTACCCTACTACCGCCTCTTCCCCTACCGCACCCCGTCCCTCCCCCCACCCTCGCTCTTCTTGGTACCAGGTCCCCCCCAGGTAGTCCCCCTCCCCCCTTCAGGTGTGTCCCAGGTAGACGCGGTCGAGCCTGTCGAGGTCACTGGTGACTCTGGTGCTGCTGCGGGAGCTGAGCCTGGGGGTGCGGAGTCTGGGGGTGCTGAGCCTGGGGGTGCTGAGCCTGGGGGTGCGGACTCTAGGGGTGCTGAGCCTGGGGGTGCGGAG